TTGCGCTCGTGCACACACACACACATATACATAATGTTCTGGAAAGCACTAGGAGCTGGACAAGCACCTAGCACCTAGTCAAGCACTTAAGCAACATGTAGGCATTTTTAGCATCAAGAGAGGAAGGATTCTTTTTGAAGATCCAAAATTCCTAGGACATGTGTAGCCATATGTCATTGTACGCTTTCTAATTGTAACCAGATTTGAAAATTCTATGAAGAATGACTGCAAGTGAATTGACCCTAAATCCTAATTCTTATTTACTATGTCATTTATTTTTTTTCCAAATTCAACCCAAAACCTCATAGACCCTAGCCAACTCCACCCAAAGCACATTCCATGTTGCTGGACGGCCACTCATGTTGCTCCATTGTTGTTGCCACGCTCCATTCCTTCACCAAAATGCAAACCCTAGCACTTGTTCCTGTGAGAACCCTACATAAGCATATTACTTCCACAATAACCTTCTTCACGTCAGTGAACCTGAAACACTGAAACAGCCAAGTTCCCTTTAACTGAAATTTGAACATGCACTTCTTTTCATTCTTAATCCTTCAGTCCAATTCTAGTTTACCAATAATTATTCATATCCGTTAACTTCTAACGTCTCTAGATATCTAAATCAATCTCAGCTGTCATATTTGTTGTCAGACAAATAGAAAAAGCATCTTGATCATGCAACTTTGCATTAGGGTGAAACTGATTGGGTGTACGGTAATTTTCTACCATTTTAGATAGAGAATCCAAAAAATCTACTTAAGGAAACTTTTTACTATGTTTATTTCTAACTTCCCAGGCCTAGATGTGCGGATGGTTTTTTTTTTTAAGTTAGATGGAAATAGTATCGAAAACTTTACTTTTATAGCTTGTGTTTGCATTGCATTGTAGGTATGATTTTCATTGGCATTAGTTATGCTCATAGTTCCATAATTCCTGGATCATCCCTTGAATCCTTGTAAAATTCCCGTGAATTGATTCCCGGTATTTTTACGAACTGATTCCCTTCGTACACTACTTGGTTCCCAAAAACCAGTCTACCGCTTACGAGTATGTTGGGTGGGGCACAAAATACATTTACGTGCACATGTGCAAGGAGCAATAAGATGCACGCATCCAAGAGAAGCAAGGCGCACACCGTACATATGACAGACAAACATGCATGCATGAAGGAACATATTTTTGAGTTTTCACATAAAAAAGATGTCAAGAATCTTAACTTATGACTGAAGATAGATAAACAAATGCTAGTTCTCTAGTTTCTAGGTTTCTAATATACACTTTCGAAAATGGTAATTGCACCCAAAAAAACTTACAGCGTACCACCTACCAAAACTTTGTAGGAAAGAAACCTACCTTTCTCGAATCTAATATAGCTAGGTGGTGAATTGTGTACCCCAATTCGTAAAACGACCAGTAATGTACCACATACCGAGTAACTATGGTTATGCTTCTAGAATATTTATTTAGTCCAAGCAAATGTGTGTGTGCGCGCCCGTTTGTAATTCTATCATCTGTATGATTGTTTCCATTAATCATTTATCTTAATATTTACCTTGTTTCCTTCATCCCCTCCGTCATATCTGGAGATGAGTTAAAGTAACTTACTTAACACCATGCTTCTCTTGTTTAACAGTTGCCAATAGCCAAAAGGCAATGCTTGATCATTCAGCATTGTGTTACAATTAAATGGAAAAATTATCAGAAAATTTACCTTAAGCTTTCATATACAACATTGCAAAAGTGCATGCAACAGTTCTCTTCTCAAGATTCCGAGATTCATATTCCCATTTCTATATCTTACCGCAATTTCAGTAAACCACGATTGACTCCTCATTAAGTCAATGT